AGTTAATATATAATATACACATAATATATAGTTAATATATAATATATACATTGATATATATAGTTAATATATATAATATGTATATTGATTATATAGTTAATATATATATTGATATATAGTTAATATATAGAGATATATAGTTAATATATATAATATATATCGATATATATAGTTAATATATACATGTATATTGATATTAGTTAATATATATAATATATATTGATATATAGTTAATATATATGTATATTGATATATAGTTAATATATATAATATAGAGAGATATATAGTTAATATATATAATATATATCGATATATATAGTTAATACATACATGTATATTGATATTAGTTAATATATACAATATATATTGATATATAGTTAATATATATAATATATACCGATATATATAGTTAATATATATGTATATTGATATATAGTTAACATATATAGTTAATATATATAATATATAGATTTATATAGTTAATATATATTATATATTGATATATATATAGTTAATATATATAATATGTATACTGATATATATAGTTTATATATATTAAACCTTAGTACCTGTTATTGTCTTTCTTTTTTTCACAAGAAACTTGCCAGCAGATAAAAACGTGAATGGGTCCGTAGAAACAGGCAACGGTGGTGGAAAATTTTCTTTCGAAGAAGTTGATTGTCTCATGATAATAGTGACAAATATTCAACGTGCTTGTGGAGTACTGGGTTCTAAGACGTCACATGGATTAATTCGGTGCCTCGTGGCTCTCACAGGAGCCAGGAGGGAGATGCCGTTAGCACCACGGCTGGTAAGGGGTGCCTGTTTGACAGTGTGCATGTGTGTGTTTTGTGGATAGAGGAGGCTGTGACGTGGTTTTATTTTATATGCACCGATAACTGTATTTTTCAGCTTCTTAAATCATTCCTAGATAATTTGCTAGAACTGCACTCTCCAATATAGCAGCCACCAGTCACCCGTGGCTGCTGAGCATTTGACACCTGGCTACTGAGACGTGACATAAGTGCCCAATACACACAAGATTTTGGAGATGATAAAAAAAAATTAGTGTAAAATACCTCTAATGTTTTAGATTGACTAATTGTTGAAATATTATATTTGGGATAGCATGGGTTAAATAATAAAATAGATTGCTAAAATAAAATAAATGATTAGTAATACTGTAATATAGTGCTATTGATTTCACCCATTTGTTTTTCTTCTTTTTTTTTAACGTGGCTACTAGAAAATTTAAAGTCATCTGTGTGGCTTGCTTCCTGCTTCCATGGAACAGTGCCATGCTACAGGTACATTTTCCATATGGTCTTTTGCTGAAATCAGCCGACTAAGACCAAGAACCTGTAACTGATTAGGCGTTAGGGGCTGTAGACAAAGTCTTACCTCTCTCAGGTGTGTTTCTCTCCTAAGACCTGTGTCTTGATCTATCCTGGTATTTCTCAGCCCCGATTTCACAGTAGAATCACCTTGGAAGTGTCAGTAAAAGTCGCTGCCTGGGTTCCACGTGCAGAGATTCTGATGGTCTGGGCAGCCTGGCCTTCGGGGTTTTAAAGGCCTGCAGGTGAGCTGAAGAAGCCGCGCAAGCTGAGAACCTGATGGAAATAGGACCAGCGGACACTGAGCCCTGGGAACAGACTGGGTGGGTGGGGTGTAGGTGGTGGCACCCGGCTCACCCTGCATCTCCGGTAGAACTGGAGAAGCGTGCTGTGGACAGGCCTCAGGGAAAGGCCAGAGCCCGCCCAGCTCATTAAAACCTAAAACCTGCCCCCCAGGGTCCTGGGGGAGGGAAGGGAAGGGAAAGAATGGAGCTAAATGGGGGGAGAACTGCCTTCAGCTGTGTGAGGTGATGTACTCCCCAGGGGCCCGAGGGCGGGCCGCGGGGGCCGATAGACGCCACGGAGGAAACCTTAGCCCAGAGCTGAGCCCGGCCTCGTCCCCTCCACCCGCCCACCCCAGCCACTGTCCAGCTCCCCGCCACGGGCCCTGAGCGCCTCCCCCTCCAGGCTGACAGAATCCAGGATCCGCCACAGCAGATCTGCGTTCGGTGGAAGAAAATGCTCAGATGCATTCTTATGGTGATGTTCTAAATGTCTATTACGTACAGAACTTCAGAATTCAGGCAACTTCCACTCTGGAAGGTTAGGTTATTAGCATCGAGAGACAAGAAGCTGTCCGGTCCCCGTCCTCCCACCCTCCAGATCAATCAAAGCTGCCGCCCTGCACACGTGCCTGCTGGGTCTGAGGGCAGACCCTTGTTACTACTTTATTAAATGTATCGGCGCAGACCTTTCTGAGTAATTTTTTATAAACTTCCCCTGCATACCTTCCTGACAAAGTCACTGTCCATGGGGGAAATGTCTGTGCCAAATGCCACCCATCCTTCCACGTTGGAGGGAAACATCTTTTTCAAATAAGAGCGTGTTCTCCAGATCATCCTCCCTCCACCTCTTCTATTTTTTTACGATCCCTTTAGCATTCTGCCATGTTATGTGAATTTTCTCCCATTTCCAACTTGATCAGGGTTCACTAAATGACCAACAATACTTTTGGTCTCAAATTCACCATCACGAACATGGTTTGAAAAATGACGATTTTTAGGATTTTATCATCAGATACTGCCAGGCGATTAGAATGCCCGTGTCCCGTGTACGTAGCCCTTCCTCCCAGACTTCAGGGAGTAAGCAGGCGGTGCTGTTGATAATCAGAGTGCTGTCTCATTTCCAGTCTCTTAAAGATGGAGGTAAGAGATGCCCGGCAGACGTGAAGCCGCATTTATGAATGAAAGCATTCATGGTTGGGTTTCCTGCCTTCTGTGTTCCCCTACAGATCTAAAGTAGTAACTTCCACACGATACTGATCTACTCGAACAGTTTCTATTTCTATTCTGCGTCCCTGAGGAGAGAATATTTGGCACTGCATATAACATTAAAAAAAAAAAAAAAAAGAAATCCTTTCCTCTGGCTGGCATTCAACTTTTATATTTTTAGATTTGGAAATACATTTTCCTCTCCCTCCACCCAGCATGTATATTTTTACTCTCCTCTTAGGCCTTCAAACTGCCCCAAAATCTGTTTCCTGGCAATTTGAGAAGTGAGAAATGTTGGCGTGGGGAAAAAAGTGAAGACGCATGTGAAGCTGTAATTGTAGCATGGAAACATTGCCCAACGACAAAACCAGGGGCTGTCTTGTGATGTTTTCTTCTGCTCACACTAGCGTCCTATTTTGATCTCACTGAAGTTTACTCCGGCTGTCTCCCATTCAGGCACAGTGACCCGCTTTAAGTCAGCAGTGTACTGACTTGGGAGGACAAGGAGAGCGTGATGACCTTAAACTACAGAGACTGAATTGTCACTCTGAATTCACTGTAAGTATGCAAAGCAGGCAGTCAGCTCAGCCACAGTTCTGATCTTTAAGCATCCATCCTACTGACGGGTTAGAAAGTTCGTTCAGTGAACAAGGACCTATCAAGCCATTGCCAAGCACCAGGAATAGGCCAGCCTCTGCCGTGTTGATTTTGAAACAGCCCTGAACTCTCAGCTGGGGCACTTTGGAGGTTACATTAAAAAAAAAAAAAAAAAAAAAAAAAAAAAAAGACCAGGGCGGGGTGTCTGCAGGGCTCTTCTGATTAGCTGTGATGTTCTCTTGGTCCAACTAAGCCAAGGACTGTCCCAGATAACACCAAATCCTTTCAGGTTAGAACACGTTCTTTTCCTTCTGCTCCTGTCAGAACATGAGCTTGCTGGAAAAATTTCAACTTTTCTGTTTCCTCTCTATGGATCACCTAACCACAAACACTGGCGTGGGTTCCAGATTTACATAACATTCTCTGGCGCACAATCACATTCCGCTTCTCGAAGGAAAAAGACAACTGAAGAATATTTCAAGAATTATTTTCACACATGATTATCGCACAGTATTACAATGTATTATGTGCAAAATTCCATTAAAAAAATCATTTACAAAAGGAAGTATGTGTCGAGGGTTCCAGATGCACAGCAAAAGCTTAAAAAGGTACAAGGTACAAAGCCAACAAAATTAGATGACTACGCATCCTTACACAGTACAATAACATGTTTTTGTAACTACCTTTGTTATGTTGATACGAGACCCTCATCCTCTGTGCAAACCGCCCCTCCCCAGGCCCCGCCCAAACAGGTTTCGTAAAACAGAAATTTAACTTCCGCCACACATTCTACAACACAGATGGGCTTTTTGGTGCATTTGCAAACTCCTTTCCAAATGGCATTTATTTAACTCAATGAAACTCACAATACATGGTTTCTGCCCAAAATAATTTGAGGCTGTTAGTTTTGATTTATGTGGAAAAGGAAAAAAAAAAAAAAGTGGTGTTCTTATTTTTTTTTTTTTTCCTCGTGGGGTTTTCAAAATTGCTTCCGAAAGCAAATAACATGGGACAGATTTTGCAAATCTCACTGCATATTTACAGTATTTTCAGCATAGGTGGTTCCTTTTATCTCCTTTTCCCACTTCCTTCGAGGAGCCTGAACCAGCAGACTCCACCCCTTAGTCCTCTGTTAGAGTCTGTATTTCCCTCTCGACCTCTCTCTACATTCATTTCTTTCCTGATCCCCAGCACCACTTGGTGAAAACACAAGACAACGCGATACCACTGAGCGTGAACAAGGTAATAACAGTACGTTGGATTTCCAAAGGCATTCTGTGGCCAGTGTCAGTAATACATCGCTGTAAGAAACCCAGCAGTCTCTCCCCACAAAGTTGCCCAAACATCCAGTTACAGAAGAGAGACTTTTAAAATGCAATACTCTCAAATCCAGCAAGAGATTTCTTTTTGCAATATTAAATGTTAAAATCACATGCATAATTATAGAATATCTTAAAGTTACAAAAATATTTTAAAAACCAATCCTGACAGTTTACCTGCAACTGCTATAAAAATTTCTATGAAATATATAAAAACGCAAAGGCTCTTCATAAAAAAAAAAAAAAAAAAAAAGAAGAAAGGATGGAGGCACCCACTGAACTGAGAGGTCCTTGATGCACTGCATCGGACAGTCTTGTCAAACGCCTGCTGTTGAACTCAAGAGAAGAGCTTGTACCTTAAATGTTTATTCTGTACGTATACATACACGTGAGCCAACCCAGTACCTGGCTGGGGGTAGACAGCAAACGATCTCGGGACACCTGACCCATCAGATGCAGCTCTCCATCTCTGAAGGACGGATCCTACTGTTTCATGAACCTCAGCTACTGTGCTTGGGCATCGTGGCTAAAGGTGCCCTTGGCCAAGTCAGCCTGTGGATGGCTCCGTCACTGAACCGAGCGGTCCCCAAGGAGGTGACTGCTTTGCAAGCACAAGCACGTGGAAGCCAGAGGCCAGGTTCCTAACTCCGCTCTTTGGATGCACCACTGGGAAGCCTCGCGTGTCTCCTAGGAGGCGGTGAGCTCTTCGTCCCCGTTCTGGAAGATGACGCCGTAAGGATCCTTCTTGATGCGCTTGTAGACAAAGTGGAAGACGTGGGACTGTGGCCGGCTGTGCAGCTCGGCCTTGATTTTCTGAGGGTATGTGTCCTCTGCCAGCTGCTGCCACGTTTCGTCCACAAAGAGGAAGAGGCTGTACTCCTCGGGGTCGGCCACCTTGAACTTCTCGGCACAGAGCTGACACACGTCCTCCGTGGTGACATAAGGCCTCACAAGGAGGGTCTTTCCCGTGCAGCCACTGTTGACATCCTGGAATGCAACCCGGAGGTAATTCTGCAGGTGGAAAGAGAGGTGCAGGGGCGGTGTCAGAAGAGGAAGTGAGATGGTGCAGGTGAGCTGGGGGACGCCAGGGAGAGGCCTCACAGGTGAGCCTCGCCCGACCAGTGACAGGACACGAGGCCCCTAAGTACATGGAAAGAGGCTGATGTGAAACGGGATGGTGGGGAGCACAACTGTATGGACTTTAATTCATCCCCAATACAAGAATCAGGAGGAAGTCCGTTCAGCCCTGCTCTCACCCTTCAGTCTCTCTCATAAAGCTGGGCTGAGAAATCCCTGGTTAAGAGTGTCAACCAGATCTGACGCCGGGTTTATTTCCAGCTTGAAAAACCAACCAAGTGTCAGAAGAGCCAGGAGTCAGCAGCAGGAGACACGTTAACATATGTAGACACAAGAGCACACGTTCTATTCGCTTTGGACTCCTTTTTATGAAGTCTAAGCAGAGGCGATGGCGTTAGGCTGGACCACGAAATACTGCGGACGGTTGACCATCCTTCCCCTCCCCCACTGGCAATTTCACATGGTTCAACCCAACACAAGGTGGCTCTGAGTGCTGTGTGGGAAAGTCGGCAGGGGTTGTGGATTCTGCGGAAAGGCCTGGGAGATGCAGGGCGCATCTGGGTGCAGGGCGGTGCCGTGGAGATGGGGGCTGCAGGCTGGGGGGCGTTTGCAGGCCCTGCATCGTGAGCAGTACCAGGCGAGTGGCTTCACGGAACAGAACAGACCTGGGGCCTGGACGAGGTGCGGGGCATCCCAGGCTCCTGCCCGGCTCTCTGAGATTCTGTGGCCCTGGGTCATTCTGCAGTTCTACCTCCTCAGGAGTGGGGTTACCAGATAAAATAGGGAACGCCCAGTTAAATCTGATTTTCAGACAGAAGACAAACACATCCTCCTTTTAGAAATCTGGCCACCCTACTCAGGAGTAATGGGGAGTGGGGCTCTCTGCCGGGGGTCCTACACGGTTACCCTGAGGGCTTCCTCAGATGATAGAAAAGAGAGCTCTTGGGAAGGCCAGTGCACCCTGCACACGGATGATAACACCGACGCTCCTGAACTG